AAAAAAAATATCAATATCATATCAGTTCAAGGGCTTTTGCAGCAATAAATCCGCTTGCGCTGATGCAAAAATACCAATATGAGAAGAAAGACTGCAGAAAAACTTGAGAGGAAGCAGAAAATGCTTTTAAACTTACAGTCGGTGTTTTCGCAGAGGTCGCAGTTACATGAGCAGTACTAGGAGTGGAAGCTGGTTTGCTGGCGTTTACGCTAGGAGTTGATGTTGACGGTTTAACGTTGTCGAGAGCAGGAGTAGACGCAACACTTTTGTTGAGTGCTGTAAATCCACCAAAGCCTCCACCACTCGACTTTGCGAGGAAAGCTAGATTTGGAGCTCCATTTTTATGTTCCTAAAATAACACAACATTAGAAGGGTAGTGCACTAAACAGTATTGAAACCTTCACTTACGTCTCTCCGCTTGATGCAACGGGCATACAATGAGTTCTTTTGAATGCCACAATAGTCCGCTAGGGAATGCGCTACCCGAGCTTTTTCATGAACGGAATAGCCATCTTTCAAGCACTGTTCTTCAATCCTAGAAAAATCTGGTAATTCTACATTACAATAATGGGCAAAAGACTATCACATTAAAATTAACTTACGCAATCACCATGTCAACATGTACATTCTGTAATCGTTTCTTTTGACCCGGTAGTGCAAGATTATTCGTGCATCGCTTGAATTCCTCTATCATACTAGACAAGGTGTCAGTCATCGGGGCCAACGGCTTCTTTCTCTGCAATAAACAGCTGAGAACATTGAACAGATTAACGGGATATAGCAAAATCGAAAAATTTACCGGCGAAGTTGAAGGAGTGGCTGAACTGCATGCATCGCCACTACCCACCGTGGTACTACTCGTTGTATGTGCAAATGGCGTGGATGCTGATGTTGTAGGCACCGAATCGACAGCGGCCGATTTCTCGGCAGTCTGTAAGTTAGGAGTCAAGTTTGAAGGAAAATAGTAAAACTATAACAAACATTACAGGCCCATTCAATCTCTGATTAGCTTACTCCTATTCTGCCATTCTTTTTTTTTTGAGGAAAAAAACAGGACATAAAAAGTTGTTATTGTTGCCAAAGCCAAATACGGGTCCAGTCGAAATCAATAAATGAGTTTTAAAGGTGCCTGCGGAAAGGTAGGGAACGGAAGAGATGAGAGGATACGCACGCAAAGAAGCTGGTCCGCTCAAGCAAAGGGAATGACTGGAGAAGACAGCATTACTGCAGAACTTTTTGACTGCTTATTTTGAATTTCATGTGTGAGTGGTATAATTTTTTTCGCAAGGATTGTGAATATGTTGTTAAAGCAGCGACCACGATAACAAGAATGACATTCCGCTCAGCAGTTACAAATAATACGTTCCCTTAAATTCAAAACTTCTATCCCGTTCTTTTTTTCAATCCTGCTTCGTTGCACTTTATATCACTTGAAAA